GCCGCGGTCCTCGTACTCGTAGTTGCGGCCGCGGCCGCGGTCCCCCTCCGGCCGGTCGTACCCGCCGCGGCCTTCGGGTGCTGACTTGTTTTCTTCCCGCGGGCGAGCAATGTTGCACGTGATGCTTCGGCCGCGGTAGTCGCGCCTGGGAACCGGGAGCGGACGGAGTCTGGGCGGTGCCAGTTTTGGAGCTCCAGAGGTGCCGTGTGGTCCTCACCCGCCCATCGCAGTGGCGGCTTCGCTCGCGTCGCGGTGGTCTCTGTACGTCACGAATCCGAATCCCTTTGGCTTGCCCGTCTCGCGGTCCCGCGGTAGGTAGACGTCTTCGATCTCGCCGTACCGCCCAAAGTCCTCGCGGATGGTCTCCTGGTCGGCCTCGTGCGGGAGGCCACCGATGAATATCTTGCGCTGGTCGGTCATAGAGTTCGAGTTGGTCTACAGCGCGACACTACAAGGTCGGCGCGCGCAACAAGCTCGAGCTCACCGTCGTGGGGGTCGGGGGTCAACGCGATCTCCTGGCGCCACGCGCGCGCGCGCCGTTTTCTTTCTTTCTTTACGCGATCGTCATCCGACACGACACACGACGCTTTCCTTCTCGCTGCTCGCTCTATTTTTCTCAAGCGTGAAGGCGGGTATGCGGCAACCGGCTCGCTCATTGAATTCTTTTTTCGTGACCGTCGTGGATTTGTCTGTTCTCTCAGGCCGGGGCTGTGTTTTGCCCAAAGCCGGAAAGCAAAAAGTGCTGGCCCCATGCAGCGAGGTACAGCATGCATTGCTCACTGTGAGAAAGGGGGGGGGGGGTAGGCTTTTGTAGGTGGGCAGGGGCCCTCTCAAAGATCTCTCCAGGAATCTCACGTCACAGCCTTGAAGTGACGAGGGCAGTACACAGCCAGTGCAGGACGGTCCACAGCCATGCACAGCGGTACGCACCCTCAGCAGTACGCACCCTCAGAGGGCAGTACTCAACTGGAAGGCAGTACACAGCTAGCGCCGGGGCGTGACATGCTGTGAATGAAGCTGAACTTGGGGGCGGATGGAACACATCGTCGCCGTCTCTCCCCACCACAGTTACAATCTCTTACTTGGGTACCTCAAGAATAGGAACTCTGTTCACGGACGTGCTGGTTCCACAGAGGTGAAGAAGAGGTGTCCGAACGCCAAAGAAGCTCGATCACGGGCATCGACTGGAGGATGTGGCTGCACTGCAGCTATCTCACAAAGTGGCGAGGCAGAGAAAGAGTAAACACCCCAGGTGTGGTATGCTTGGTTCCCGAGAGGTGTCAGAAGTCTCGCGAAGCCCGGCATGCTGGCCGTCTCGCTCATCTCCGGCTCGGCCTACACCTTGCCCTCGCGGGCGAGGGCTCCGCGCATGGACGCCGCGGTGGCCAAGGACGCCGCGTTTGGCGCCTCCCACACCTCCTTCTACACCGACGCGGTCGCAAAGGACAGCTACGAGACTCTCGGCGAGGTCCTCGAGGCCAAGTGCGCCGACCCGGAGCTGCGGTCGGTGCTCGGTACGATGTTCGACGGCTGCGGCACAATCACCGAGGCGCTGCGTAAGGAGCTGGTCACGGTCGCCGAGAAGCAGGAGTCCGTCTTTGGCGACGTGCAGCTCGGAGTGGACGTCCTCGCCGACGACCTGATGTGGGACATCTGCAAGACGGAGCCGCTGATAAAGGAGGGAGCCTCGGAGGAGGAGCCCGAAGTGCGCGAGATGCACGCTGATGGTAAGTTCTGCGTCTGCTGGGACCCGCTCGACGGGAGCTCGATCGTCGACAATAATTGGGCCGTCGGCACGATCCTCGGCATCTGGGGCGCCGAGACGGGCATCCTCGGCGCGACAGGCCGCGACCAGAAGGCGTCCCTCGTGGCGCTGTACGGGCCGCGCACCACCGTCTTTGTCACCCTCGACGACGGCGTCTACGAGTTCACCTACGGCGCAAACGGCGTCGACGGCTGGCTGTGCTCGCGTGACCGGATTCAGATCTCGCAAGAGTCAAAGATCTTCGCGCCGGCAAACATGCGCGCCGCGCAGGACCTGCCGAACTACGCCAAGCTCATCGACTACTGGATGACCAACAAGTACACGCTGCGCTACTCGGGAGGGCTCGTGCCCGACATCTGCCAGCAGTTCACAAAGCGGCAGGGCGTCTTCGCCAACCCAACCTCCGAGTCGTCGCCGGCGAAGCTGCGTCTGGCCTTCGAGGCGGCGCCCTTTGGCCTGCTCGTCGAGAAGGCGGGCGGCAAGACCTCGGACGGCGTCTCGGGCGCCTCGATCCTCGATACCAAGATCACGGGCATTGACCAGCGCACGCCCCTCTGCATCGGCTCTGCCTCAGAGGTGGACCGCTTCAACCTCGTGCTCGGCCTGGGCAAGTAGAGGCCGCCGCCGCTGCGAGTGGCGCCACGGCGCCCGGCGTCAAAGGTGTAGGCTCCGTGTGGCCTCTTGTTTTCTTGGTGGACGATGTTGTGTCGAGATGTGTGCGCTGCAGTGCAGTGGTCGCTCTGTCTCTCCCTCCCTCCCTCTCTGCTAATGCAATACGACTGCGTACGGTACTGTATGGTTATTGTCGCACCCTCGGGGTGAGCGCATGGTTTACTACGTCACCTTGTTTGAAATAGTGCCAGTGCGCGCCGCCCGTCCCGAGAGTTTGTCCCGTCCCGTGCCTAGTGGTGTGTGAGATAGCCTTGGAGTGCGGTCATTACCCTCACACCGAGGCAGGTAGGTAGGTAAAAAGAAAAAGAAAGAAAACACCCAACGCAAGGGAGGGATGGGAGGACGGTACGCCGCCACCACACAGGGATTTTAGGGGAGAAGTGTGGTGTTAGCCGTCGCCCACCCTCGGGCGTCTACCACTTCCTATAGGTAGGTAGTGAAATTGCTGCGGACAACTTTCTTCTTTTACACGGCCAGCAACCGACACCGCGGGCGCACACCGGACCACCGGGCACGATAACAACACCGGGCGCGAAGCGTGTCGTCCCGCACGATAAGTGTCGTCCCGTATGTGCCTGCCCAGACTAGCCTTCCTCCTCTTTGCGACTCGGCTTGCAGCTGACGGCTTGCCTCGAACGGCAGCCACATTCGGCGGTCGGCTCCGACATCCAGTGTCCATGACGCTGAGACGCGGCGGGAACCAGACCGCGACGCCGCGGCTCCGACCACTCGCCCTCTCTGCCGAGATTTTTGTCCCGCCCGTCCGGCGTGGCTCAGCCGCCGCTTCGAACCTCACCGTCACGGAGCAGCCGCCATGGCCGCCGCTCGAGGACTCCTCCAAGCCAGACGTGCACCGCCTGCTGGTGGCTCAGATGGCTCCGCTGCTCGCCTCGGTCGTGCTGGGCCTGTCTCCGCTGTGGCTCGGCTTCATCGGCTCGCAGTTTGTTTCTGCGTTCGCTATCCCGTCCCGCTCGATGGACGAGACGCTCAAGGTGGGCGACGTGGTGCTGGCGGAGAAGCTCTCGTCGCGGCTGCGGCTGCCGCTCGAGCGCGAGGACCTCGTCTTCTTCTCGCCGCCGCGCGAGCTCGAGGAGCTGGTGCGCGGCGGAGGGGGCCGGATCGGCAGCCGCGACCGCTTCATCAAGCGCGTCGCCGCGCTGCCCGGCGACACGGTCGAGGTCTCCGCCTCAGGGGTGCGCGTGAACGGCGCTCTGCGGCCCACGCCGCCCCTCGCCTGCCCGTCGGAGGGCCGCCCTTCGGGGGAGGAGCCTTCGCGCGAGGCGGACCAGGTGGCGGACCAGGTGGCGCGGCTCGTGCGGGAGGGGCGGATCAGCGCCTCCGAGGGGAGAGCACTCGCCAGGGAGGTGGAGCCGCCGGAGGGAGAGACGGCGGGCGGGGCGGCGGCGCTCTCGGCCCAGCGCGCGAAGGCGCGCGTCTTCGGCAACGTCGAGCAGAAGGCGGTCGCGCCGGAGCTGGTGGTGTCGCCGACGGTGGTGCCACCTGGCACCGTCTTTGTCCTCGGCGACTGCGAGGCGAGGTCGACGGACAGCCGGGTGTGGGGTCCGCTCGAGGTGAGGCGGATCGAGGCGCGGCCCGTCGTACGTTTGTGGCCGCTCGACCGCGCCGGGGCGATCGAGACGCAGAGCGACCGCAACCCCTTCCGGCGAGAGGCGGCCAAGTTTAGGGCCAGCCTGGACGCGGCCATTCGAAGGCCTCGGCCGTGACCCGTGCGCGGGGTGTGCACTCGATTATTTGCTGAACCAAAGAGATTCGTGTCGCCGTGTGAAGTTTTTTTACGGAGAGTAGCGACGGAGAGGTTATGAGATTGTTTTTACGTGAAGAAACTGCAAACTCACCCCGCAAGACCGCGACGGATTTATCGCATTATTCGTTATTCGGTTTTTCGGAGTACTCTACCGTCTACGGCGGCTTTACCGTAAGCACCATTAAGCAGTAACTCTATAACGAACTCACACACGGTCACGGACCCGAACGCGCCCGTCACAGTACCGGCCACTCGACGGGCCGCGACATGCCGACGCCCCTTCCGCTTTCCCTGTAGTAGTAGGCCGCCTCGTTGATGAAGACGGGGTGGACGACCTCGCCGAGCGAGCCGTCGTAAGGCACGAGAGAGCCGTCCAGCGCCTCGAAGAGCGCCTCGCCGGCCCGCAGCGGAGCGAAGTCGCGGTCCTGCAGCGAAGCGGCGACCACCGCCCCGGGGAGCGCGCCGTCGGCGTCGGCGCCGTCCACAAAGGGCACCTTGCCCAGCGAGACGTAGACGGGC